CCCCCGTAGTCCACCCCTCTGGGTTTGAGCTCAACAACGAATAAAAAACAGGGTTGCGTTAATCCCGGGGTGCGAGAAGCAACATGAACAACATCTGCATGTGAGCCTGTATCCATCCACGTTTCGTGGAACGTAACGGATTCAGGATATTCTGTCATGTATTCCTGCATCAACCTGTCTGTACAATCTGATGCGACATCACTGACCTCCCCGTCCGAATCTATGTTCCAGCAAAAGTATTCGGCGCATTAAGTTTCCCCCATCTGTGTATTAGAGATGAAATACTCCGGACAACAAGGATCACGCTCAATGGCATCACCAAACATAAAGCTTCCCCCCCATGGCTATCTCTAGACAGTGTCGTCAGCTGTTTGTGTGTCTGTTACACAACCCCGCGCCACGGACTGCTCCACATTGATTATCAAGAGGATCTAGTCTACATATCTTACCAGGAATAGTCTAAATGACTTTCTTGTTGGTTGTGGCTGGTATTTTTAATGAGCAGGGGGGACCTCATCATGTTCTGCCATCTGATCTCCACAACACGTATGTGAAGGGAAGGCGCGGGTGCACACGCATCAGGTTTGGACTACAGTATACCTTCACGCTTGTGGGAAGAACAGTGTGGAAAGCTTAGCGAACCAGTACAAGCATCCTGCAATAGCGCCTTATCAATCTTTCGCTTTACCAAACTAAAAGCGAAGGCTACAAAAATATGAGGTCTCAACACTCACGATCACTGGCGTATGCTTTCTCTCCGTGTCCCACTCGCCGGAATCCTCAACGATCACCATGATGTGCCGAGGAGACCCTCTAACCCTTGCTCTGAGTCCGATGCTGCACCGTGACGCTGCCCAATCTTGACGTGATGAGCTCGATAAGTAGTCCAACAGGGAGCTGAAAGGCTATCCTGTCGGTTCAGTCGCGCTCCTCCCTTGCCTGAACAAGACGGTGAGATCTACCGTCAACAGCCCACCCGTCACCCACTGCGAGGTGCCTCAGTAAGCCAACGGCGAGCGTACCGAGAAGAAGTGCCGGACTCTTGTTGTGGCGCTACGGTCGCGAAGCTTCCTGCTTCCCTCTGCTGCTGCCGTCCTATTCCCGTTGCTTTGTCTCTCTCTGCCTCGTCTGCTTGTCTGTGGTCTGTTTAATCCACCGTCTCAAAATCGCCATCAAGCTGAGTCTGCTCTGCCTCCCTCAGCTGCTGCTGGGACGGACGGGAAGGTTGATTCCTAGCGTGCCAACAGTAGGAAGAAGCGATCGTACGGTAGTCTGATCCGGGTCGTGTATTCAATACCCTGTCTCTGCTCGGGCATCTCGCTCCTGCCGAATGCCTCGTGAGATTATGTGCATGGTGCATGGGCGGAGTGCCTAGGGCCCAAGATCCTGAATGGCAGAGAGAGAAAGAGGCGTTCTTATTCGTCAGGGGAGGGGTCCACAGTCCCGCCCAATGGACCAATTTGTCTACAGCAGCAATACACCCTCCTTGCTGTGCATAGCTCCGTCCTTCTCCCATCCCTGAACATGTGTGTCAAAGCTGGAGATACCGAGCACAGGAATTCAACGAGTTCGTCAACAATGAATGGTGAGAGGTATGCAAACTGCATGATTCAATTGGATGGATTTGTTTAATGTATAAACTATACAGATGGCGCTAGCATTTACTATGAACTCAGCAGTTAAGAAATGCAGCCTCGAAAAAATCGAAATTCAATAACTTGGCCATGAGAACACGCGCTCACTTCCGACGTGGTATTAAGAACAAGAGCCGGTATTTATGGTGTAACAGAGCGCTTACGGATACGAACAGACCCCCCAAAAGTGGCAGCTGCAATATAAGAACTTTTTTTTTTGTTTTTTGTTTTTTACTCCCATCATTGGACTCTGTCGTCTGCCCCTCTGGCCCCTATCCTCCACTTCTTCTAGCTAGACGACCCAACCGGGGTCACATAGGAGGGGGCAGCTGGACCCCCTCCTGCGGTTCATGCCTGAGGTATTTTTATCGCGAGAAGGGTACAGCAATCCCTTCCCTCGCGACTTACAAAGTCGATTATGGTTTACTAACAAACGAGCTTTGCAGCGCGTCGCTTTCATCCTAGACCAGGATTTATTTAGTGAGAAAAAAACTCTCCCTGCCGGGGCTCGAACCCATGACCTGGCCCTTGGTGGTGAGGGGTGACTCCCGGACACCCCCCGCCGGCAGTTTCAAATCAGCGATGATGAGGGGGATCTCCGTTTCAAGTAATACCGGTGCGGAGGGGGGGGCGGGGGGCCGGGGCGTTCTCTAATGTTGTGCATATTTTGTGGTTAGACCATTGGCCACGCGTCCTCGAGAGGACGGAGTATTGTTCTAAAGACTGATGGCCAAACGTTCCCTTCTACTTTACCAAAAAAATGTGTCTCAAAACCTTTTCCCTAGCCTATCTATCCTAACGATGTCACCTCCCGCCTCTTCAACCCAAGTTCCATGTCCCAGTACAGCTATACCGTCTTCTCTCCTAGCTGGTATTCCATGCCTCAAACACCTCCCTGTGTCTTCCTTCTACTTTCCCAAGGCTCCGCCACGTAAAATCTCCTCTCCTTGTGCAACAGACATCCCGCAACTACGTCAACCCGGTTGTTCGCACTCGGAGCCGCGTTCACATTTTACCTTTGTCAGTGCGGAGGGGGGAGGGTGGGTAGGTGCTAGCTTCGTTGTATAAGGCATACCCCTCATCGCGTGTCATTGGGGTGCCTGCCATGCTGCGTGCCATGCACAAGAGCCATGTCTTTACCCCTTGAAATATTGAAAGGGCTTGGTCAGCTGCCAAACAAAGATGAAAGGAGGTATAATTCTTGATCGCACTTACAGGCCATCACAGATTATGTCATAGCTGGCAACTGCCCACGAGCAGTCAGACTGGGAGGCCATCGAGTCGACGCGGGGGCGACGAAAGCTTTCCGACACCTCTTCTTCCTTCGGCGCACCCACCGGTTTTCGAATTCAAGCGTGTAAACCCGCTGCTCTTGACAGTTCGTTGCTGCATGTGGAGTACTCGTAAAACTGAGCATGGGCTGTCTTGGTGAGCTGATCACTCGGCCGTCTCAGGAGCGTACTCGCCACCTTTTGCGACTACAGTGTGCATTTCGAGCTACATGTAGACCAAAGCGCCGCATGAATGCCATTGGACAAGGACAGTGGAGATGCGGGTGCGGCGGTAGGGTCGTGGGCTTTGCTTGAGGGGAACGCGCCGTAGAGCAGGGAGGAGGTCCGGCATTCGAAAAGCAGGGCGCAAATGTACCTGCTAGAGCGGAGAGGACAATCACGCCGAACGTGACCCTTGTGGACCTGTAAATGGTTCAATGTGTTTGCTCAGATGGGTCATTATGTCAGGCACTCTACCCTATCATGATCTTCGGTAAGTCGATTCCGGAGAGGTCTCTGTTGAGCGATTTTCTATTATTATACTCTATTTTATGCATACTAACACGCTGCTCTCAAGTGTCAGGCTGAATCCACCCACAAAAAATGAAAGTCCTCTGAATGGGGCCCTCGGCGTAGAAATAAGAACAAGAACCCCGTGTATCATACGGATATGCCTGCTCGACATTAGAACTTTGAAATTTCGAACAGTTGCTCAACTTGAGACAGCCAATAAGCATCGAGTCTTGGCCAATATAAGCGGTTCTCAAGTGCGGGCGCCATCTGTTTATGTANCATTAGAACTTTGAAATTTCGAACAGTTGCTCAACTTGAGACAGCCAATAAGCATCGAGTCTTGGCCAATATAAGCGGTTCTCAAGTGCGGGCGCCATCTGTTTATGTACACATCCCCATCCCTATTGCACAGCTGGATGAGGAGACATCTTGCGCGCGTTTCAGGACATGATGATTGGGTCACTAGTCTCTGCATTAGATGGCGGGAGCTGTCGTCCCCATGGCCATGCACACATGGTTGTATACAGCCGGTTGGATGGAGACCTCAAGCTCGACCGTTTTGTACCGGACCCACCGGACTCGCACAGCATCGAAGCGCCGTCGTGTGATGAAAGGATGGTGTTTGGTATCTTGTGCTGCCACGATACCGTTGCGTACATACTGGCGACGAGCTCTGATGGTTTTGATCTGTGTTTGCTATGCATACAGAACGCACCACTTGAGACATCCAACATCAGTATTTGGCCAAAGGGTAGAATACCAATTTCTCATGTATGTTGTAGCATACACGTATTTCTTGTCTGGCTCCGGGTGGGCGGCAACGTATTGCGACCGGGTCGTACTACTGTCGTCCCCTGGATGATTGCTACACGGTCGGACAGCATGCCATGCCATGCACTCACTGGTTCGTTCGTGTCGCGACTAGACTATAGTCTGATGTGTTCCTTTCTGTTTGTCAGTATCGTGCCCACGCCCGAGTACTCTCCCCCCCCTCCTCCCTCCCCCTGGACCCAGAACGTGCCGTCAAGCCTCCGTCTGATGTACCCTCCAAACGGCTGTTCCAAAACGATGCTTTGGACAGAACCTTGTGCGGTTCCAGCAGTACCGACAAAGAGAAGGTGAGGCAGGCACATACACCGCTGTCTATTCCTCCTTACGTGTTGATCCGGTTCTTTCGCTGGCGACGTGTGTTGTGCAACGGCGTCCCCTAGTGCTGTACTTGGGCGTGGTGAAAAGCAGAACACGCGTTGCCCAACAACGGGCGCGTTTGGATGTATCTCAATCGTCTCGCTCGTGGCCTCGATTCCTTCTTCGCTCTCTGACGCTACCCTTGTCTCCTCCTCATCCAGAATACTGTTGTACAGTGCTGAAGTGCACGTGTTCGTTGCTATTTTTTCACGTAACGTAGCAGTCGTTCTCCCCGGAGGTCCCACCTGCTGTACCCAAAAAAAGAAGTCAAGCCGTGTGTATCATAGCACGTCACGTCCAGTTTCCACTTCTCCGTCCTGCCAAGTGGAGCGAACAATCGAGCATTCGGCATTCCTTCGGTATGATTTTTGATCGGCGCGAGTGCGCGGGACGTGCGGTGGGGTGTACACATAGCCGTGCACGCCGTAGTCGTTAGACCATTGACCTCGCATCCCCACTAAGCCGGGCCGGAGCACGCCGTTGTTCACCGGCCCAGGCTAGCACATCACCAAGCACGAGGCCGTGAGGTGATGAGGGGCGTCGGTGTGTCGCTGTTTATTTCGAGGGCCACGCCCCAAAACACAGCGCTCACCTTCGTCTCCAAAGCCAAGCGCAATACAACCCATGCTCTTGTCTCCTCACAGGCAACCCCCCCCCATAAAACAAAATAAAGAAGGCCGCACGGACCAGTTGCTGTATGTTTCGTGTGCTACGGTGCTCGCCGGACGCTGACCCTGCTATCTCTGCCCGTGACCCTACGCACGTTTGCAGATGGTGTCGTTAGGGGTTGGAATGGACGCACACGAGGGGGCTTTGGCTCAGGGATTGGAGGGACACCAAGATGAGAAGAACGTGGGGGGGTGCGCGCTTGCTTGCGTGGGCGTGGGTGGGGGTACACAACTCAAAATGATGGGCCCGCGAGGGGGGGAGGGGGGTGTTTTGGGACGGGGGGAGCGGGGAGGACAGCAGTAAGCGGGGTGTGCTGTGTTGTATGCATACGTTGTTTTTTTTTGTGGGGGTACGGAAGAGCCCAAGGGTACGCACACGACGGGTGCGGGGCGTGTTGGAGTAAACGGCTCGGCAAGTCGTCAGTTTGCATAGCCGTAGCAGTCCTTACAGTACTTCCCCACAGGTCTCATGTTCTCCACGATTATTATCCCTTCCTTCATGTCGTAACGAATTCTCTCTCCTTTGCGTGTTCCGCGTGCCCTTTCGAGTGGCGTGACTGGTAAATATGATTTTTCCGTCTGTGAGCTGCTTGTTGTTGTTGCTGCTGCGGCTGTTGTTGTTGTTGTTGCTGTTGCTGCTGTCGTTGTTTATGCAGTAGTCTAGTTGTTGGCACCGGGCGTGCTTGGCACGGTAGATGCCGTCGGTATTGCCTCGAAAGGGAAACCTCTCGTTGTGTTCACAAGTGTTTCTCACCCGATCGGTACCCCTAACTGTTCGAAGAGGAACTAACCGTGCATTCAAGCTTCGGGCGTTCCTGAGATACGATTTGCTACGCGTGCTGTACGTGTGCGTGTTTTTTTATTGTTAGCATCGGCCGCGCTAAGCGGTTGACGAAAATACGCCAGTCGCTAGTGTTGTGTGTTTTTTTGCCGTGTCTTTTTCCTTGGAGCACCCTCGGCGTGCTTCGTCGAACTCGACCGAGCAATGAGGGGGGTTTTACGCTACACCGCCCGGCGAGGCTTTTCCATCACACCACAGAAGACATCAACAGCAAGGTGGTGTGACCAATCAAGGATTGGAGCTATACTGTAATGCCTTCTACCGGCCAGAAATGCTGTGAGCGCTCGTTAAACAGTCATAAAAAAAATAACCGCTGGAACGCAAGCATGATGTTCCTCCCTGGCCTCCTTTTCGTCACCAAAGAGGTACCACCTTGGGGAGAAAAAGGTTGTGGCATTGCTTCGGGTCCTGGCCAACCATTCCTCCCCGTGAAGGCATGCCCTCCTACCGGTTGATCTATGTACGGCGGATATTTATTGCGTGCAAAACGGGTAAATAATACCCCTTGCCGGTGGATTCCACCTTTTTTTGGTTGTGCGTACCGCCCATGTGTGTATTTTTATTGTTAGCATCGACCGCGCTAACCGGCTGACCAATGAAAAGACGTCAGTCGTAGTGCGGTTGGAAACACAAAACACTTCTATCTGCCATGAACTGGAACCCCGTGAGGGGGCAGCATGGGGGAGGCTAAACTATCAATTCGGATCAAAGACAGAAACAGCAGCAACAAAAGAAAACTGCACGCGACTACCAAGGCTACTACCTTGTACTCGAGTTCGTTTAGGAGTACTTTCGCCATGATCCTCCTTGTTTTCGCTACCATCATTCTAATCCTCATTTTGACAAGAACCTCTGGGCAGTTCCTCCCTAGCCCTACGTTTTTTGTTTTGGGGAAGGTCATCTGGCTCAAACCCTTTGCTCTCTTCCATTCCTCCATGTTTTCCTCCTCCATCGTCGTCTTCGTCCTCCTTTCTTCCCGTTCCCTCCTTCGTCTCCGTCACTCCCAAAATAATTTCCCTCATTGCTATCGTTGTCGCAGAGATCTCAACCAATTGGCCCTGGGTGGAAGTTGGTCGCGAGTTAGCATCGACAGAAAACGAGCTAGCTCGAAGTTGAAGCTGTGTGTGTGTGCGCGTGTTGAACGAGTTCGCCGCCGTTCTGTATCTGGAATGAATGTTGTGTTCAGAAGGGGTCCCGCGATGGTGCGGTAGGGTATAGCGGAGAGAGAATATCCAACCACACCGGTGCCATCGCAATGTTGGCGGTTTGGGGATGGGGAACACATCTGCTGAGCAGAGATAAACATTGGGCCGTAACAGACCACAAGAGTTCCCAAAAGAACCTCGAATTCCCGATGCTACCACCGTAAGTCCCGTTGTTTGCAACTTAGAGTGGTAAGCCGTACGCGACAATCTAAATTGCCTTATTACCGAGGGGGCTTGTTTGAGAACCCCGCGGACAGGACGGAAATAATAATTTTCGAAATCTCGGTGGGTGTGCATGATTCCACCTGGACTCAATCAGCAGCAGAGACCTGGCTACACACACTCCTCGCGGGCCTTGCACTTGTTTATTGGTACGAACGAGAGGGGGTGTCCAACCTCAACAGCAACTGCACGCGGAGGTACTAACTGCAACAGCAACTGCTGTTACGTGAGTGCACCAACAAGGTGCAACAAGGATTTTGAGTGTGACTCGATGGTAGACCACTATTGTAACAGGCAGTGCTTCAGCTGTTTCGTTTCGTTACGACACGACTCAACATTACTCGAAAAATAAGAAAAAGGACAACTAAAACCCAGCTCAATCTCGACCACAACATATGATAGGAAACGTCCCAAATAAGAAATATGATCGTGCGATATCCCCAACGCATAAAACAGGGGTTGCTGGGGGAGCGTGGATGAAGCCGCACTCGTTGGGGCGTGGGTGCTGCAAGAGGTGGACCAGAAGTCCCGAAGGGCGACGCACTCCAATGTTTGCCACACCGAGCTTTATGGTTAATGCTGCATGAATGTTTGGTGTGTTGTTGTGTTCTCAGCCAGAACAAAGAAAATAAGAAATACGAAAATCAGGAGGATGCGGCAGTCCAAACGAATAAGAGATGCCTTCTAAGAAAATGGACGACGTCGGGTGGTCCTTCGACCCAATATAAGGGATTGAGGCTCGACCCGATTTTGACGTTTCTTATCTCCCGGCCCGTACTGTAATAATAGTGGCGCGCGCAGTTTCCTGTTCGCGGACATTCGGGACTACACTTACGCACAACTTCTATCGACATCAGAACCATGTTGCGTATTAAACCCCATGGCTTTACTATCCTTGGTCCACAGGAAATCATCTCCGATCCCATCGTCTTCCCAACGAGCATACGTGTACCACACACATTCAGTCGTGACAGACAGTTCCGATGCATAGATCACACAGACCTAATGATGCCTTGCAAATCTGTCAGTCTTATACAAGTGTATTGTAGCGATCTTCCAACCGCGGTCTGATCCATAGTATGGTACAATGAAAAGGCCCGTATGTTGAGCTACTAAGCCTCCCTCTGCAGCTTTTCATAGCAAACTGATGCCATCACGCGTTACGCATACGGCAGAGGTCGGCCAGGTCGGCCACCACACTCCGGCGATTGGTCGGTTGAACCTTGCCTGCCGCAGCTTCGCCCTGCCTTGATCATGGCGTTGGCAGTGACCAATATACGGCAGGCAGCTTCTTCCATCTCGTTTCACCCCTGCGACATGGAACAAACAATTTCCAGGTACATATGCATAAGAGCCAGGCCTTCGCGCGTATCATCGCGTCGTGCATGAAGCTGGCCCACCAACAGACGACCCAGGTGTGCACGAACCTTCCTTCGCACAACGTCCAGGCTGTTCTGAGTGCTGACCGTGTCTGGGTGGTTTTCCCCAAGCTTTTTCATACGGATTGAGAGGGCCCTCTCCAATAGTGGAACTGCGTCCGTATACTGCTCCTGTAGACGATTGCGAGCAGGGTTGCGCAAAACCTAATCCAGTGGGCAAACCACACCTATGTGCAAAGACTTGGGGGTGAAAACACCGATTCGTTTACCAGGTACTACACACAAGCAGTAACTGTAGTTGGTTGGAAGCGAGTGGTCCAGTCAAGTAGCAAACAAATCACATCGACACATTAGGAATGACGTCGTCAAAAACCTGGCAGCCGCTAATTGGTTGTCCTCAACAAGCTTCTGGATAAGAGCAAACTACTCCCAAGTACCCGCTAACGGTGAACGATTTCCGTGCCTTACCATCTTGTCCAACAACAACGCCCGGTCGTTGAGCAATCGGGCCACATCGGGGTGGTCCGGATCCAGGGCCTTGTCTCGAACGGCTTCTGACCGCTCGTAAAATTGTTCTGCCTCATGTGCATCGGTTGTGTGGGTTAGCGTGAGGCAGTGCACCAAAAACAACAACATGTCCCTCGACAATGTGGACCTTACCAATTTAAATTTTGAGATAATTGCTTGGGTTCTCACCTGATTCTTCAACAACCCCGCCCGGTTGTTTGCACGTGCCAAGATCGTGGTGATCAAGGCCCAACGTACTGCCTCCAACCACAGTGACTGCAAGGTACAGAGGGTCCACCTCGGCATACTTTGAGCAGCTTCATGCACGAATGTTGGAGGCTAGTAAACCTGTCACTGCCAAAGAATCAACACTCACACCGCCCGTCCGTTGAGTCTTGTGGCCACGATTGGGTGCTTCGGACCCTTCACCTTTCTGCATTTTTAGTGGCCCGAACACACTTGCCCGGAAACGTGATATGTATTTGCGGAGAAACATATTCTCAACAATTCGCCCGGTTGTCGAGGGCCATGGCCACATGCACATGCTCACGGCGCAGAACCCTGGCATATATATATATCGTCTGACACCTTGCGTAGAGTGGATCAGCCTCACCATACCCTGGCATGCAGTCGTAACCAGCAGTGCGGAACATGTGGGATCTACAACTCTCGGTCCACCACCTTCCCTCATATGGCTTACGACCGCTGATGGAGTGGCTCGGTCTCAACATAGACTATACTTGCCATGATATGGAGTGGACAGTGCGGCAGAGAGTCGGATTTCAGTCCGAACGAGATCTAAAATTGCGGAGGGATTGTCTTGTTCTAGAGGCATCGTCACCTGGCTCATCAACAAACGTTCAAGATTGTTGAGCGTTGTGGCCACATCGGGATGCTCCGGACCTAGCACCCACTCTCGTATGGCTTGTGAACGTTCATAGAGTGACTCGGCCTTAACGTACTTCCCCTGGCATGCAGTCGTATACAGCGTGGCAGAGTTGTCTTCATTGCTCAATCAACTTGGGGTCTACTCCTGCGCATAACACATTTTCGTAACTACGCCCGCTTGGTTGTTGAGCGCCTAGGCCATCGCGTATGGTCATCAATGGCTAATAGAATACTTCGGTCTCAGCATCTCGCCATGGTATGGAGTGGGCAGCAAGGCAGAGGGTCGGGTTTCAGGGAAACGTGAGATAAAAAACTACGGACAAGCATCTAGAGTCGTCCGTTGACCCTCACCTGGCAATGACACAACACCGCCCGATCGTTGAGCGTCGTGGCCACATTAACATGCTCCGTATCTAGTACATTCTCTCGTACGGACTGGGACCGTTCAAAGAGTGGCTCGGCCCCCGCGTACTCGCCCTGAGACACAGTGGTTTACGAGGCAGGGTCAACTTCAAGTTCAATAGGTGTTGGGATTTGTATGCAAGAACTGACTCTATTCTACTGCATGGGTTTTGTGCAGTAT